TACTGTTTGTTCTGACACATCTATGAGTTCCCTGGAGGACCAATGCATGGGGCCTGTCTTTGTTTTGCCTAACTCAGAACTCTCTCAGGACAGAGAAGAGGCTATGAGTAAGTGGAGAACATTCCTCAAAAACATGGAAAGTCAAATGAACAAAATAAGTGCTATAGCCTGGGGAAAAATACAAAAGTTGAGGCACACAATAGAAATACCGAAAGTCACAGAGGAAAAGCTGGGGCATGAGAAACTGGAGAATAAGAGCTCTGAAAAGCTCCTGCATATAGGGGAACCTAGAAAAGCCATGCACAGGTCTGGGGCAGGACACATGCTCACAGAAGACCATAGGCTTCATAACTGCCTGGTGTTTAGGCTCAGCGCTAGCAGGAAGTGAAGGCTAAGGCAGAATTGCAAAAGGCCTGGATAAGTGTTAAAGGAGGGCCCCAATACAGAGCCAATCTGCAAAGACCTGGAGAATATTATCTTTTGGGGTTTTTTTTGTTTCCTTTTTGCCCATCATGATATTCAAAATGTCCAGTTTTAAACAAAAAATTACAAAGCATGTGAAGAAATAAGAAAGTATGCTCCATTCACAGGAAAAAAGAAATTTAGAGAAACTATTCCTGAGGAAATACAGTCACTGACTGGAGTTACTAGACAAAGACTTTAAATATGCTCACAGAATTAAAGAAACCATGGACAAAGAATTAAAGGAAACCAGGAAAATAACATCTCAACAAATGGAGAACAGTAATGAAGAGACAGAAATTATAAAAAAGGAACCACAAAGACCCTTCAGATCTCAAAAGTACAAAACCTGAAATAAAGAATTCACTAGAGTGGTTCAACAGCAGATTTGAGCAGAGAAGAAAGAATCAGTGAACTTGAAGAAAGAAAAATAAAAATATTTCCTCTCAGACTACGGTTTGTGTCATTCTCTAAACAGTGTTTTTATAAGGGCAGAGGGTTTTAATTTTGCTGAAGTTCAATGCATCAATTTTTTTTTTCATGGATCATACTTTTGGTGTTATATTTAAGAAGTCTTTGCCTAACTCAAGGTTACAAAGATTATCTCCTGTGTTTTCTTCTAGAAATTGTATAGGTCTATGATCTATGTTTGGGTCCCCGGCAGTTTTTAAAACTAGTTTTTACATTCATTAATATTTGGAAGATTTTGAGTTTTGCTACTACAAAAGTGTTTTTTAATTTCAATGCAACTATGAAGCAAAAAGGTCTTCTTTTAGACAAGAATATTTCTTTTTATAAACTATACATTTGCTGTCTAACTGTAGTATTGGATTATCATTGCAGAGAAGCAGTTCTATTCACTGTAGCACATTAGATTTAAATGGATCAGTTGGAAGTGAACCAAGCATTACTTATCCCTTACTTAGCAACCTAGTCTAAATGCGGAGTAAAAAGTTTTCAGGTAAATATGCATATGATGCATATCCTGTAATAGTAGGGTTGCCAAGAGATACTTCAAAATAATGAGTCCAGTTTCTCTGGTGAAATAAAACAATTTAAGGAAGATGAAGTTGTACTTTAGTAGATAAAATTTCACACAGAGATTTTTCTTTGAGAGATGCTCTACTGTGAGGCTGGCACACCTAATGCATCCTGGTAAAGGATTCAGCCTCTCACCTGCTACCAGGGACCTCTTAAAGATCTGTCCCAGTTCCCACAGCAGGGACTGCAGTTTGGAGGCAATCTTGGGCATACATGCTTGGTAACAGGTCTTCAATTGCCTCATACTTGAAGAAGAACTCAATCTCATTTGAAGCAGAAGCCTTCCTTGAAGGTAATCTACTGACAAAGATGATCAATGGAGAAAACAGTCAATCTCACTCTGTATGGAAATGTAACATCTCTCTAGCTGCTCTCTGACATGCCACCACCCATATAAGTCAGGATCCAGAATGAAAATATTCTCACCCTACCAAAACAACCTAAAATTAAAATGTGAAAATACATATTTAAATGATTTAAATTGCCTAATGAAAATTTTTTCCTTTTTGTTCTTTAACTATAATCAAGAAAATTATTCATATAAAGTCTCAAAAATTCCAATTTACACCTTCAGAGATAATCAAATTCCTATTACATTCCTAAAACAAGAACAGATTGCTATGGAAAAAGCAACCACCAAGAATTTCTAGATATTATAAATATGACTGTGGAAAGCAAAAATTTTTTTTTTTTTTTAAAGATTTTATTTATTTTTTCCCCTTAAAGCCCCAGTAGGTAGTTGTATGTCATAGCTGCACATCCTTCTAGTTGCTGTATGTGGGACGCGGCCTCAGCGTGGCCGGAGAAGCGGTGCGTCGGTGCGCGCCCGGGATGCGAACCCGGGCCGCCAGCAGCGGAGCGCGCGCACTCAACCGCTAGGCCACGGGGCCGGCCCAGGAAAGTAAAATTTTAATGAAAAGATAACTAATAGAATGGTAAAGGTGAAAAATAAACAAGTGATTTGAAAGGTAAAGCTGAGTAAATCTTGAACAATGTACAACAAAAAAAGATGGAAAATACAAGAAAAAAAATTGAGACCTGGAATGTCACATGGTCCAATATTTGTCTAATAGGAATTCCAGAAGGAAGAAATGGAAGAAAGGAGATAATTTTTTAAATAACATAAGAAAATTCCTCTGAATTGAAGAAATTTCTGAATTTTCAAACTGAAAATCTGTCCAGTGCAAAGCAAAATTTGTGAAAAGATCCATGCCTATATACATCCAAGTGAAATTTCATAATTCCAGTGATAAAGTAAAAGGTTTAAAGGCTCATAGAGAAAAGAAAACAAGAGGATAAAACAAAAAGACAAAAAGCAATAGAATGAGACTCGCTGGCATTGAAATTCTCATTAACATATACGGATGCCAGAGGACAATGGAGCAGTGGTTTCAAAGTTGTGAGGAAAATGATTTTGATCTTGAAACTATTACCCAGCCAAATTATTACTCAAGCGTGAGGGCAAGATAGAAACACTTATTTATTTATTTATTTTTGCTGGGAAAGATTTGCCCTGAGCTAACGTCAGTTGCCAATTGTCCTCTTTTCTTTTTTGCCTCTGCAAAGCCCCAGTACATGGTTGTATATCCTAGTTGTAAGTCGTTCTGGTTCTTCTATGTGAGCTGCTGCCACAGCATGGCAACTGACAGGTGGGTGGTGTGGTTCTGCAACCAGGAAGCAAACCTGGGCTGCCGAAGTGGTGAGCACCGAACTTTAACCACCAGGCCATCAGGGCTGGCTCAAGATAGAAAGTTTTTTTTTTTTTTTCTGCTGGGAAAGATTGGCCCTGAGCTAACATCTGTTGCCAATCTTCTTCTCTCTCTTTTTTTTTCCTCCCCAAATCCCCAGTACATAGTCATATATTCTAGTTGTAAGTTCTTCTAGTTCTTTTATGTGAGCCGCCGCCACAGCATGGCCACTGACACACGAGTGGTGTGGTTCCACGCCCGGGAACCCAACCTGGGCCACCAAAGCGGAGTGCACCGAATTTTAACCACTAGGCCATCAGGGCTGGCTCTAGAAACATTTTTGAACGTGCAAGGATTCATAATATTTACTACCCATGCACATACTAACAGACATTACTTAAAGAGGAACATCATCAAAGAAAAAATGATTTACAAGAAAGAAAATGAGACTTTTTAAAAAATGTTGCTTCATCGTAGAACCTATAAAGAAGCAAAAAAGAAAGAGAAAGAAAGATGGCAAAAAAATCAAAAAGAATCCAGTGGATGGTGACTTTTGAAACATTCTTCCTCAAGCAGCAGGGGCTTATAGTAACTAACATAGGATTTTTTACTTCCTTCTCTATGAGTCCAAGCACAACTCTGTGTTGTGCAGCGGATGACAACAAAATCATAATTCTGCACGATTCTGATGTTTTTATTTTATTTAAATTTTTAGATCAATCTGTAGAGAAAACAAATTAATAACAGATACAATATTACAAAACTAGGAGAGTGTAAATGAGAGATAAGAAATAAGAATAGATATAGTATTTAAAGTTATACTGGTAACCTCTGGAAGAGAAAATTAGAAACAAAAATCTCAGAACATTGTTAATAGGAGCTACTTCTGAAGAGTGGTGGTAGGCATAAGTAGTATTTTCCTTTTCCATTTACTTGTTTTATGCCTTTCTATTTAATTTGATTTTGTTTACCATGTATAGGCATAACTTTAATTCTTTTAAAAAATTGTTTAAAATAAGAAATACAAGGTACTGTGATCAATAAGGGATAATTCAATAATTATGATACACATATCATACAATGGAATACTGACCAAATGGAGACAAAGAGATACATCTATAGGTATTTACATGAAAAACTGTCCATAAGTAAAAAAAAAAAAAAAAGCTTCAGAAATGATAGTGGATAAGGAGATGACCCTACTTATGTAAAAAGAAAATTATATGAGAGAGAGACAGCATGGGTATGTGTGTGTGTATGTAAATGTTTGTAAGATGTTTTTAGTGCTGTAGCAACAATTTACTGAAATAGCGGGAACTTTCGAAGATATTTCAGCATTGTGAGCTGCATTTTTAATTAGCAGAATTTATAGGCTGTACATTTGTTTATTTTTAGTGTAGCTTAAATTTCTATTTTAATTTAATATTTAATTGAATATGTAAGTCTGCACTAATTAACATTTTTGGTACCACTCTCAAGAGAATAAGATGGCACTTCAATAATGTTTAACATATTAACATGTTAATTATTCCAGCTGTTACCCAATCTGGCAAACTTCAGACACAACAGTTAGTCTCTCTAAGTAGTATTTTATACTTGGAAAAAACTGAAACTGAACCAAAAAAGGGGACTTTTTTTATATTGAAAAATTTGAAAATGTAGAACATCATAAAAATCAAGTAAGTTGGATTTCTGGCATTAGACAACTCTAAAAACTACTAACATTATTAACAGTCTGTTTTTGCTTCAAACAACATTAAAACATATTCAGTTGTAAGTCCTCTTTTTAACAATTTGTTTTTTTCTTACCAGGCTATTTTCTTTCCAAGCTTCTGGGAACTTGGGTCTCTGTTTTTCCCTAGACACCAGAACCTGCATATCTTCAAAAGTGGGATGGTTTCCAACTTCTGTCTGAAAAGCCATCTGGTATTCTGGTACAGACTCACCTGTGTATTTTTTAAAAAGAAAGATAGAGTAACATTTTCAATTATGATAAAATGACAGAATAACAGGAATATTTCTGATACTAAGTAAGCAAAGAAATTGTGTCACAATCTTTTTTTTTTTTAACCCTTTCAGGCATATTTGGAAATCCTAAAGAGACTCTGTTGTGGGTTTAATGCATTATTAATAAATGCTTTACTTGGAATAGTCTCTGCTTGATGAATTAAATGGTAGTTTCAATGATGGATAGCTATTTTTAAATGGTTTCTAGTATTACTAAATGGGGGGGGAGATTATTATATATATAAAGCATACTTAATACTTGAAAATATGTCTGAATTCTTATCCCGTACAGGGATCAAGAGTGGTAAATATGAGGAGAAAGTCCAGGATCTAGTACAACAAACATGTCTGTAGAACTAAATATAAGTAGGTGGGGTTGTACAGTCACCATGTCTCATTATGTCATTGGTTCTATCATAGTCCATCCAGATTATATCAAATCTCACAAAAATGTTTATGATAATGGCTATTTGACATAAAAATCAATATACTAATTTTTCAAAAAATTCCTCTTAACAAGCAGTATCTAGATCAAGGATTTTTAAGTATCATTAACTATTTTACCATTGCTTAATAACCCTATTCATCACCAATAAGCACAATCAGCTGCTTGTGATGAGAGGCTTATGATTTTTTCAAAATGTGATCAAATTAAACTTAATAAACATATTAAGCCACCCTGAAGACCTCTGGGACCAACACTTAGAAAACCAATGGTCTAGTCAAAATCTTGGCAAAGAACACAGGAGAAATAGAAACTCTTCCTGCCTCCTTGGCCTTCTCCCCACCCCATTAAGATGGCAGGATAAATTAGAAGGAAGAACACCAGGATGGAGGATAAGACACTTAGGCTCTAATCTTGGCTTCGCCTCTACCTTGGAAAAGTCATTTAACTATTCTGTTTCAGTTTTCCTTTCAGCAAAATGGCAATGTCTGCCTTCCTTATCTCACTCACACAGAGATAATAGAAAAGTTATAATGACCCAGATAGACAGTACATTACGAAACATGTAATTTAAGTTTTATGTTTCAATTTGAATATTTGAAATATTGAAAACAACCTATAAATACTTGCCCTCCACCAACATTAAAAAAGATTTACAAAGATTAATTCCATAATCTATGCAGCATAGCCCAAATTATTTACAATATTGTACTATCTATAAATACAAGTGATATTTCACATACTCTAAACATTTAAGCAAATACTTATTTTTGATCAATTACCATCAACATTGAACTTGAAAGACAAAACTAAAGGATTTAATCCTGCCAGTTAATATATCACTTTCTTTCATGAAACCTCATATGATAAACCTCAACCCATACCATCTATGAACTCTAAGATATTTACTAGTATATTTTATCTGTCTCTCTGAGACATATATACAACACATATACATACATTCCAAGTGTTATTTATTAGTTATTTTTTCTTCAAATGCTGGTTCAGTAGAATAATTAAAAATTCACAATTTTATTTATTTGTTTTATTTAGGTCTAAATTATAATCAGAAAACTTGCTACATGAAATTGATACACAATCTTGTTTTGTGAATGGAATGACATTAAGAATTATCAAATTTCTACTAAATCTTCATGGTTCTAAATCTAATTGTTCAATAGATTCTTGTTTAGAGCTAACTTAGTATTAGACACTGGGGATACAAAGATGAATGTTAATGACATCATCATCAAGGAAGATATTAGAAGATATATTGGATTTCCTTAAAACTTTATAATCACTAGATTTCTCAAGGGAAGTTTTATAATCTCATTTTCTTTCAAATTGTCCAAAATAGATCAAATATCTAAGAATATCAGATCATTCCTTGCTTCTCACCTCATTTGCTACTTGTTAATTATGTCTCTAAGCAGTTAGGAACTTTTTTGGTCCCCTTCTTACATTACACGTGTTCTCTTTCTTCCTTTTTCTTTTTTTTTTTCTTTTTTCCCCCAAAGCCCCAGTAGATAGTTATATGTCATAGCTGCACATCCTTCTAGTTGCTGTATGTGGGACACGGCCTCAGCATGGCTGGAGAAGCCGTGCGTCGGTGTGCGCCTGGGATTGAACCCTGGCCGCCAGCAGGGGAGCGCGTGCGCTTAACCACTAAGCCACGGGGCCGGCCCTCTTTCTTCCTTTTTCTTTCTCTTGCTTTTTTTCTTCCTTCCTTCCTTTCTTCTCCCTCCTTTACGTAAATGTTGCAGCATTTCACTGTTCCTTTGTAATAAAGACACTTAATTCATTTATTTTTCTAATATTTTACAGAGAGAGGGAGCCTTCAGTACACAGTGTTTCCATTTAATAATAAAGCACGTACTGTATCTGGAGGTATACCATAGAAGTTTTAAAAAAATGTTTTGCAAGAATTTTATCATTATTATATGTTATTCTCTCTAGATTTATTAACATGTTTATGGGAATCCTTTTTTTTCAACTTCCACCCTATTTCATTCTTAAACTTTTTAAGAGTGCTCTGTATCCTCTGCCTGTGCTTTTTAATACTTTTCCCTCCCACACTCTAATATTTGTCCTCTCTGTTCCACAGAAACTCCTCTAAGAATACCAATGACCTCCTCCTACTCAAATTCAAAGATCATTCCTTAGTTTTATTTTTTTTTGATCTTTCAATTACGTCTATTGCTATCAATCCAGTTCTTAACACTGACTTCCAAGATACTATGATTTCTCAGTTTTCTCACTATTTTTCTCATCATTTGTTTCTTCTTTTTTTCTTTTTTGCTAAGGAAGATTCGCCCTGAGCTAACATCTGTTGCCAATCTTCCTCTTTTTGCTTAAGGTAGATTCACCCTGAGCTAACATCTGTGCCAGTCTTCCTCTATTTTGCACGTGGGTTGCTGCCACAGCATGAGTGGTGCAGGTCTGTGCCTGGGAAGCAAACCCAGGTCGCTGAAGTAGAATGCACCAAACTTCACCACTAGGCCACGGGGCAGGCCCCGATCATTTGTTTTCTTAACTAACCTACTTGGTGGGGAGGTCTCCCAATATTCAATTCAACAATTTTTCTCTCTCTTCATTTGTTCTCTTAGGGGAGTGCATCCACTTGTAAATTCTCAATTACCATCTTTATGTAGACAATTCCCAAATAATCATTTTAATCTTAGTTCTCTCAACATCCTCTTTATTCTTTTAAAATATTTCTTCAATCGTCTGTCAATATTCCATCCAAAAGTCTCCATAATTAGCTCATCTTTCCAACATAAACCAATATTTTTTCTTAAGTTCCTGGTTGCCACCTTCACTAGTTCTCAGATGTCTGAATATTTCTCAATTCAATAAACTTTCTTCCAGTTTCCAGAACCACAGATTCCTTCTCTACATTTTCTCTCACATGTGCCTATTTTTCCCCATTTCCATATCCAAGATTATAGGTATCTTAATGCAACTCTCCTTTTTTTTTTTTTAACAAACAGCCCCCAAATCTTTTTTTTTTTTTTTTGAGGAAGATTGGTCCTGAGCTAACATCTGTTGTCAATCTTCCTCCTTTTTTTCCTTTTTTCTCCCCAAAGCCCCAGGAGATAGTTGTATGTCATAGTTGTACATCCTTCTAGTAGTTGCTCTATGTGGACGCTGCCTCAGCATGACTTGATGAGTGGTCTGTATGTCCACGGCCAGGATCTGAACTGGTGAACCCCGGGCCGCTAAGCAGAGTGTGCAAACTTAACCGCTACAGCACTGGGCTGGCCCCTGCAACTCTCTTCTTTTTTTTAATTTTTCGCTCTGGTTAAATATACACAGCATAAAATTTACCATTTTAACCATTTTTAAGCGTACACTTCTGTGGCATTAGTGCATTCACAATGTTGTGTAACCATCACCACCATCCATCTCCAGATCTTTTTCTATCTTCCCAAACTGAAATTCTGTATCCATTAAATAATAATACCCTATTTCTTTTTCAAACTCCTTTTCGTTCTTTCTATTTCAATTCATCCTACATATCTGCTAAAATAATGTGCAAACAGGATTTAATTGGCTTTCCCTTTTCAAACATCTGATATGGCTCCTTATTATTGATTAGACAAAAAGCAATATTTATTCTTTGGAAGCAATAGTTGTTCAAAAAATGTTGCTGATGACAGTGTACCAATGCTGATATGAGAATCATTTTAGTCAAACATGCTTGTAAAAAAAAAAAAAATTTTGCATTAGGATATTTAAAAAAATCTGTGGCCACAAGCTCCAGTGATAGAAGTAAAAAGTTCCAAAAGGTCCAAAGTTCCAATACTACTGTGATACTACGGCATTTGCTGCTATTTCCAGAAAAACACTTCAATTGAGTACCCTGTACTTCCAATTAACTGGAAAATATACTTCTAAATAAGAACTGACAGACCTGTAGTTAATCTAAATAGTTATTAATGCATTTCATTATATTTTAGAATTATAAACTACTGTTAAATGCTCAGTTTTTTTTTTTTTTTTTAAAGATTTTATTTATTCAGTTTTTTCCCCCCAAAGCCCCAGTAGATAGTTGTATGTCATAGGTTCACATCCTTCTAGTTGCTGTACATGGGACTCGGCCTCGCGCTGGACGGAGAAGTGGTGCCTCGGGGCGCTCCCGGGATCCGAACCCCGGCCGCCAGCATCAGAGCGCGCGCACTTAACCGCTAAACCACGGAGCCGGCCCTTTGCTCACTGTTTTTAAAGCAAAAAAAATTCAACCCCATTATTAATCTCTATTTTTTTAAAATAGTTTCATTTCATAAATTTGGTTTTTTTGAATGTTTTGAATAAAACATTTTTCCTTTTTCTATGCTTTTATTGGTGTTATTCCTTAAGATAGAGACCATAGATATCAAATCATTTTGTACACCATCTAGAAGAATGCAACGCACATACTGGTAGCTAGTTTAAGTTTTTATATGACAATAATGACAGTGATGTAACCCTAACATAAGGAGAAAAACCATAAACTCATTTGGCTATTTCAATTAAGCCTCAAACAAGCATTCACATTAAATGAGTTGTTCTCTCATTGAAAGGAAGGAAGGAATGAAGACAGGAAGATAGGAAGGCAGGAAGGCAGGCAGGCAAGAAGGGAGAATAAAGAAAAAGGAAGAAAGGGAAAATGAAAAAAAGAAAGGAAGAAAGAAAGAAAAAAGCGTTCCAACGGATAATTAATTCACTGCTTCTAACTCTTTATTGGGTCAATTCAGGAAACACTGTTAAGTGTAGCTTATCAAATGCTCATGGAGGGCATAAGGAAAATGATGACTGCTAAGGCAGAGACCAAACTAAACACAGTTAGATAAGCTATTATGAGCCATCAATTTAATTGCACTCAGATGCAAACTTGGAATCTTTTTTAAAAAGTTTTTCCTGATTCACATGCTTCTGCTAATAGCATTTCTGAACACTAGATGGCAATGAACTAAAGATTTAAATGAAAGTAAAAACATACATAAAAGCTGACTTATTTAATATAGGTAGAAAAAGAAGATATGACTGCTTCACTTCAAAACATCTATCAATTTTTGACAGCAGTTCTCTTACCTGGGAAGAGGTCTGTACATCTCATAAATATCTCCCAATAGATTAGTCCAAGTGCATACATGTCTACTTGTTTCAAAGCTGATTCACAGTCCCTCAGGTTCACAGCTCCTTCTAGAACTTCTGGTGCCATATATCTGATTGTGCCAACCTGATAAATTAGAGTGATAATATTCCAAAACAGAATGTAGCATATTTTGAAGAGCATACATTAGACCAGAAGTTATACATAAATTGCATGTCAACAATATGTCAATGATATGTTATTTGACCCTAAGTATGTCACTGAACCTTTCTATACCTGATTTTTTATCTATAAAATACCCTTCTTGAATAAACTGTGGGTAAATCCACCCTACTGAATAATATTTATCAATCAAAAAGAATGAGCTAGACCTTCCTATGTATATCAATGTAAAAAAATCTGTAAGACAATGAGAAAACTGCAAAACAATATGTACACTATTTAATATTTTTAAAAATTCACAAAAACATATATACGTATGTATAGACATGTGTATGTGAATGCAGAGAAAAAGGTCAGAAAGGATCTGTTCCACAATGTAATAGTGTTGTCAGAAGGTGACTGTCCTATCTCAAACTTGGTAATTTTACACTTGCTTCAAAAATCAGTTCCTACAAACTTCCTCCTAGTGCTTGCCAAAAATGGGTTGAAATGGCAGTGATTTCCATAGCAAACTGATGAACTTTATGCAATGTCTTCTGTATTTCTTAATTTTGTAATTCCTAATTTGCTATAATTGGTAGCATATAAGGATAATTGTCCTGAGTAGTGCGTTTTTTAATGCAATTCATTATGTTTTCAAAGCATGTCAGTGTGATACCTTTTGTATTCACTCACCTCACTTATGGCTGCATTATCTTCTTCCCCTGGGCGCACCAGTCTATTTCCAGTCAGCCTCATGGACAATCCAAAGTCACTAATAACACAGGTTCCATCATTTTTCACCAGGACATTTCTGCTGTTTAAGTCTCGATGAGAAATTGCAGGTTTATAATGATCTGTTTGGATAATTTCAAATATTTATTAATGTTTAAGAAGCACTATTGGACATGAAATGAGCGTGCTGGTAATAGGGACTACATAAATAAAGAAGATAGTGTTATTTTTCTGCTCATTAATTTTCTAATAACAAAAAGAACATAAGAAATCAAAATTTCAACTCACAATCATCACTATTCTCATTATAATATATTTTACAACATAATTCCTGTTGCATGTGTAATTAATTAAGTTTTAAACATTCAGCTGCAACTAATAGCCAACATGCTGTTGCTTCTAATTTTAACACAATTTTTTTCCTCTTCATTTCTAGGGTAGCAAAAGGAGACAATAGAGAAAGGAATATTTGGTATAAACAACAACAAAAAAGTCAACTTATCTAAAATTAGTATCAATGAAAAACTGACATGCCTTCAAAATTTGTATATATATCTTATACTATTTGCCTATGGCTTAACAGATCAAACCTGTGACAGAACATCTCTGTTCCCTGAGGTTCAGCTATGTTTCTAAGCCTACCTCAGTTCTTCAAATCAAAATAGAAATAGTTTTACAATGGACTGGGAGAACAAGTGGCGGAGCTGGTATCTCTCAGCAAGATATGAAAATCTGTTTTCTGACTTTACAGAGAAGCAAAGCACTATTATACTCATTCCATTACTTGTTTATCACTAGACTGTATGCTCTATGAAGGTATAAAGAGAACATGTTTTACCTGAATTTGAAAGGCTTGGTATACAGTAAATGCTTCCTCACTGAAAGAATATCTAACCTAAGCACCACATCAAAAACATAACAAGTTTTTCCTCTCTATAAGGAAACCTTATGTAAATCTTAACCAAAACCATAACTCTTGAAATGAAAAAAAAATCCTATGGCACGATTTCTGAAATTTAAAATAACTCCCTAGGTATACAAAGAAATAGAGCAATCAGAACAAAGTCAATGATAAGTTTATTGAGTGTTTCTATTTAGGCACAAATAGACTCAGTATTTACACTTATTACTCTCATTAACGAGTATTAGACTGCAATTTCACCATTGAAACTAAAGAGAATAATGATTCCCGTGATATAAAAAAGAAAAATAAAGCAACAGCACAACTAGAAGAAAAAATAGTAGTTACTGAGTTTCTTTATCTAAGAGTTGATTTCTTTTTTTTTTTTTTTTTTTTAAAGATAAGAGTTGATTTCTTTCTCATTTTCTCCCCTTCCGATTTCCTGGCCCAGCCTTCCAAAGCTTGTATTAACATGGCTCACCCAATCCCTAAAAGAGCTGCTTTTCTTACTCTGGATAAAACCACAACATAAGTATATGTGGTATAATCTCAAGTTGATATTTATATAAGAAATTATAGAGACACTGGAAAATGTTTGTACACTAATACCAAATCAATACTTAAACTAAAAGATCTCATACATCAGAGAAACCAGGCTAAGAATGGGGAGAACACGCAATGAGTCAATGAGACAACCAGAGGGGAAAATAGGGTACTACTTTCCACTACTACTAAAGAAAAAAGAGGAGAGGTAGGGAGCAAAGGAGGAAGGGAGCAAGGGAGGAAATAAGGGAAAAGAAGAGAGGACACCAATGCAAAGGGTATTACAGACTGCCCTTCTGAGACTTCTTTTCCCCTTAAAGTTCCCCTCAGTATTCATTTTAATCTGTTTTTATTTTGGGGGACAGGGTGTAGAGAAAGAAGTGGAATATACAATAATTTTGCCCTGGGCAGTAGCACTGCACTAGGCAAATATCTCAAAGGAAAGTAGGACATAGAATTATTTTAATTATGTTAAAAAATAAAACCTGAACAAAAAAATAGTCTCTGTGGATATTTATATAAACATAAACACACACACACACACACACACACACACACACACACACACACACACACAGAGCAAAGGACCTAGAAGGATGTACATAAACTATTTAATAGTAATTTTATGGTTAGGTTTGACTGACGTATATGTTCTTTTTTCTTAGACTTTTGTGTGTGTGTGGTAATAAGTTACATTGATATTATCACTAGGAAAAAAATTCATAGGGAGAACCAATTAAAAATAAATACACAGGTTCAACTCCTCCTTATTCTGAAGAAAAAACAGCTGAATAAATAATAATAGTAATATTCCTTACTACATAATTTCTATGCTAAACAGCAAAGTTACATCTGAAGATACTGGGAAGAATAGTTCTCTGAAAAAAAGTGAAATGACACTTTAAATGTTTTGAAATAGTATAGTATACTTGGAATATTTTTTTAATAACTAAGCAAAACCATAAATTCAAATAGTTACTATACTTTTGTTTTTTACAATAGCATATATATACTCAGTTTTACAAAAGCTTAACTATTTAGTGATAATATTAGGTAATGTTTGAGAGTAATATCTGCATTCAAATAAAAGTCATATTTGAGGGCAATCATTGTTTTCAGCCAGTGTTTGACTTGAAACCTTGCTGAATCATGCAAGCCTTGAAACGGGGGATTAGGATGGTATTTTAAGTTTGGTGCTAAGCCAGCTCTTTAAAGGAGTTATAATAATATTTAAGAGTAAGGAAATACACAGTCCAAATGGTTAATGTGCTAGAGCACTAAACTAAGTGCACCAAGATGCTGACACAGGAAATAACATTGGTCAATTCTGTATTCAGGAAAAGCAAGATGTCAAGATAAAAGAACTGATAAATTATTCAGGAGAAATTATTTATATATGAAGCAGCAGCTAGAAAAGATGATCTATGCTATTATACAAGGGAACAAAGATCTAAGAAATGGATACATTAAGGATTCTCTTCACTACAGAGGACAGAGAAACTGAAAAAACAATGTTCTGGTCTATAGTATGACAAGAAAATGCTGTAAGGGATGAAAGCTTGAGAAAGCACAAAGACAGATTTTGCACAGCAAAGCTAATTTAGAGGAGCCTGTGATGTGAAGTGTATTTTGAAATAAAGTGAGAAAGAAAATGTATTAAAGAGATGCTTTGAAGAATGAGCAAAAATGTGCATAAAAGCTGAAGAAAACTGTAGGTATAGTAAGGAACACAACCACACAGTTCCGAAACACTGGCAAAGACTGATTTCCCACCATGCATTCTCCTCTTCCTACTTAGTAACAGAACCCAATATTATCTGAGGCAGCAATGCACCCAGCTACAAAAAGACCTATATTCTCAGCATCCCTTGCAGCTAAGGGTGGTAGCTAAGCTAGGACTAAGTTCTGGGAAACAAAACATAAGCATAAGAGTGGGACTTCTGGAGGCAGAAGGGGCAATTCCTTCTACCTTCCCTCCCTTTTCCCTGCTGATTAAAATACAGCATGATGAATACTGAGGTGACCTTGAAGATGTAAGCCATATATAAAGCATAATGGAGGAGAAATATAGGAGCCTAGGGCTCTAATAATACCATGGTGCTGTCAAACCAATTTCAGACTGTCTCTCTAGTTTCTTAGAGAAAGAAAAGAAAAATTTGTTCTTATTGAAGCTTGTTATTCGCCCCCCCCATAGATTTGAGCAAACCAAACTCTAGCTCATAAAAAGATATATTTGGGTTTCATACTCAAGACCAACCAACCTATGGAATAAAGATACATGTGATGTTAAACCAAAAAACTGATAATGCATTGCAGTTCATTTAAATAAGCACAATAAATACAAGGAAAATATAACAGCCTAGCCACGAGGTTCTTAAGTCAGGTCCATAGGTGGACTTCAAAGGGTCTGAGAACCCCTAGAATCAAAGAACATTTTTTTAAAGTATGACCATATGTGTATCTTTGCAGAGAGAGTGTTCAGAGCTTTAATCAAATTCTCAACAGGATCCAGGACCCCTCTAGAGTCTTGAAGTTCTTTTTCTTATTCTTCCTGTTACATTTCAAATAAATTTCCTCATGCCAGATCGTTCAAACAACTGGCTAATAATAAATCTGCTATAATATAAAATATAGTTTCACTTTGAAGACATGAATAAAATTTCCCTTTGTGAATTTTGACCTCACATGAGTGTTATTCATCTTCCATTCATTGTCTTACCTCCTCGTGGTAATTCTGTATGAAGATAAGCCAGTCCTCTAGTCACAGAATGAGCCAGACGGCAAGAGCTTACCCAATCACTTGTATGGAGACTCAAATACTTGCATAGAGATCCCTATATAGAGGGAAAAATACAAAAAGAAAAAATAACAAAAAAGGGAATTAATTTACTTGAACATGAGGAGGTAAGTTAGCAGCCTTATAAAGGATTGCATACGTTAGGACTCCATAGAGATCTAATGAATTATGATATTTCAGAATCTCAACAGAGTTAGTAAGACATTTCTGTGGATAGAAAGAGGAGGAGGGGATGGAAAGGAGAATTTAAATATTATCAATTTTTATTTCTCCAAAATTAAAAATTATGCATGGTTATTTCATTTTAAATGCTTCTTTATCAAATTAAAATACAAAAAAAAGTCTTTCAGACTCTTTCTTTACATTGTATCTCTCACCAGTACAAATACAAATTATATTTTTATATTTTACAAGTAGAAAACAGAAGGCATTTGTAAATATGCATGTGTCAGTGCTACTCAAGGTGCTCATCCACAAACTACTTATTACCAGTCTGGGATAAGGAGCTTGCACCAGGATGAACGTCAGTCAAAGCACTGCTTGCTTCATCAAGAAATTATTGCTGAAGAGAGGGAGAGGGAGAGGGAGAGAGAGATGAACTAAACAATTAACTAGTGACTTAGCTGATTCACATTCTGGTGTGAAATCTTTATCTCATCACAGACCATTAATAACCAGTGTGCAAACCAGCAATGCTCTACATAACAGTGGTCCTCCTGAAAATCTGATTGACAGCTAATATAAATGTAAGTTTATTTTTTATGAAGAACTTACATTGGCATAATACTCCATCACAAGCAAATACTCCATGCGTCCATCTGCAGTGACTCTCTCATCTCCAACTATAAAGCGAGCAATGTTGTCATGTTCCATCAAAGGCACTCTGTAAATATTCTTCTCATTGATAAAATTCTGACGGTTTGCAAAGGAAAACACTTTTACAGCAACTGGACGCTCATCTAAGGAACCTTTATATACTGCTCCATATCGACCCCGGCCAATTAGCTGTAAATTGGTTTTGAAGAAAGCAAGATATTAATTCATATCACAACTAAAAAATCAAATTTACTAATTAATGAAGTATAAATCCATATGTATGCCACAGCTCTCTATTGCTTATTGTTCAAATTACTCCATTATCAAGAAGCTAATAAAGTCCATGTCTTAGATGGCTCAGGAAGCTCCTACCAGATCCAGCCTTCCCACAGATAACAACTATAAACTCTGAACAAAATTTGAAAAAGAAATCTAAGAGTGCTGGAGAATGAACAAATGGAGGTAGATTCTGAGGGGAGACAACACTTAGAAGAAAGAAATGACATAGAGTGAGCTACTGATTTTTATAGCTTTTAGCCTGAAAGCAGGCTGAAATCAGCATTGTGCAGTGAGCTAAAACTGCGATAGAAAATCCATAATCTTTCTGGCCTTAGGAATCAGAGTACAGAATTTGGGGCAACCACAGCTGTTGGAAAGTGAGGGAAGAATCCCAGAAAGAAGAATCAGAGAGGGGGAAACCCAGTGAATGCATGGGACAGACTCCAGCTAAAGATAAAATAACTGAAATGAGATTTGAGCTTCCGCCCAAGAGACAAGTTTGCAATTTGTCCAGCCAAGTTAATTGCCTACTAAAACAAACAATGAAAATGAACACACTTTGGAAGAACCTAACAGAACACAAGGGCTTCACAATATAACATTCACAACATCTAGGATACAATAAAAAATTACTCACTACACAAAGAACCAACAAAATGTAACCCATTCTCTTCATTTTTGGCTTCTGGGGATTTCTCTCACTTTTTACTGCAACAAGTTAGGGATTTATCATTATTTATTTAAGGATATTTGTTATATTTCATTCACTATTTCTAGGTTAAAATTTAACAAAGAGATAGATTACCCTTTAGAAAGGCTGTATCACTATATAGTTAAATCAGCAATGTTTGGGAGTTGTTTCTTTTACTCAGTCCAAGATAAAATCTTATGGTTTTAATTAGTATTTTTTTCAATTTAGTATGAAGTGGACATCTTATTATACATTTATTAGTCACACTTGCTTCTTTTGTGAATTGGCAGTTCATCTCTTTTGTCCATTTTTTTATGGATTGTTCTTTTATACTGATTTATACCAGCTCTTTATGAATTCATGTGTCAAAATAATTTTTTTGAATTTGGCTTTTAACTTTATTATATTTTTCTCCCAAATGGAAGCTTCTTAAAATATTGTTTTATTAATCAAATCTACCACATCTGTTATTTAACAATCTCTGGTTTGGGGATTATAGTTTATTTTTCCTAATAAAGATCATAAAAACATTCATCATGGTAAGACTTTTAACACACAATCTGAGATATTACCAAACGAAAATTAAATTCTACGGAATATATAATAGTCATATGTACCTATAAAATATATAATATATGCACAGACAAGAAATATTTATTTGGCATCTACTATATATTCCTTGCCTGGCAGATTCTTCTCAGAATTTCACCTGTCTTTATTCTCATACTCTGTACAAGTCAGTACTCAAACATCTTCTCCTTTCTAAATATACTTTCCATCTCCTTTCTAAATAAACTTTCTTTAATAACTTCCTTTCCAAAACTTGCTTATTTCCTTATCTGCCCTAGTTTTTTCCACAGCATTTACTACTACGTGAAATAATATACATTTGTTTACATGTTTGTAGACTCTCTCCCACTAGAATATAAGCCTCAGGAGGGATTATCTGTATTGTTTATCTATATTCTCAGTGTCTAGAATAGACCTTTGCAAAAAATTGATACTCAATAAATGCTCGTTGAATAAATGAATGAATGATTTAGTAAGTGAATGAAGTCACTGTCTCAGTTATACTACGAGAGTAGGAAGAACAGTCCATAATCTAAGAGCAATCTTACCTCCAACAGTTTCAGATTATCTAGGTCAAGAGAGGGCTCTGATGCTGCTGCCTCCATCATGTTCATACTGTGAAGACCTTGTTTACGGTCTCCTATAGAAATAGGAAAAAGAAGTTACTAATGTGTAGTTTTCTTAAAATGAAGATCTTTTTTTTTTTTTTTTAAAGTTTTTTTTTTTTTTTATTTTTTCCCCCCAAAGCCCCAGTAGATAGTTGTATGTTATAGCTGCACATCCTTCTAGTTGCTGTATGTGGGACGCGGCCTCAGCATGGCCGGAGAAGCGGTGCGTTGGTGCGCACCCGGGATCCGAACCCGGGCCGTCAGCAGTGGAGCGCGCGCACTTAACCGCTAAGCCACGGGGCCGGCCCAAAATGAAGATCTTTATTACACTTTTTATTATATTAACAGTTAAAAACAAGAGCTACAGAAGGGTAGGCAGCAAGACTTATGCCTAATGTCAATGGGAGTAAAACTATGTACTAAGCCAGGAATCATCTATAAATGAAGATGAATGATGAATAACATGAAAGCTGAATTCTGGGAGATGGTTCCAACAACTGACCTAGTTTAAAACCCTAAAAAATTTGCATAAACATTAAAGAAAGTTTTATTAAAGTTATTCAAATGAATGAATGGGTGCTGATTTCCTAAAAAGCTCATCAAACCTAAAGTTTACTAGAACTGATTAGACATTTGACAATACTGAGGAATTACTATTCTTTTTTAGATGTGAACATGTTATGGTGGTTATATATATTTTAAGTCCCTATATTTCAGAGATAACACTGAAGTTTTTATAGATAAATGATATCTATGATTTACTTCAAAATAATCCAGTGGCATGGAAGAGTGTAGTGAGTGGGGCTATAGATGATATGTAGATGTGACAATTGTTGAAGCTGGGTGATAGGTATTTGGTAGATGTTTGAAACTTTTCATAAAAATTAGGAAAAAAAAGTTTGTTAAGAGAGAAGGATGAGAGCTACAGTAGCACAGAGATGTTTTTTACCACAGAGATTTTAAAAACAAGAAAATAAATTCTCATTAAATGGCATGTTTAATAAACAGTAGGATAAAAAGTGATATTTTTACCAGTCAGCATCCTGTATCCGAAGCATAAGGCAACTACCAAAACAGCTAATACAGAGACTGATGCCAAAGCAATGATTATTGTCTCATCTCGGTTAAACGGATGAGGTGGACCTAAAAGAAAACAAGTATAAAAATTTGGTCATCTTTTTTTTTTTAGTATTTTGTTAAATATTGACAGAAAGCTATATCAATATATAGTCAAATCAGCAATATTTTTGTATCAAAGGAAATGAAAGAAAAATATTTATTAATAATAAAATTTGGAATAATTGCAAATTATATACTTTTGTAACCATATAGATTATCTTATATAGATTTAGAACGCTGAAACACCAGTTAGTTGTGCTCCTAATTATTGAAATATCAACTATATCATGGAACAGCATAGACAGAATAGTATAATATTTAAGAGAACAGTCTTCAGAATCACACCTGGTTTTAAATCTTGACTATACCACTCTCTCAGTGGCCTTTAGCAAATTATTTTTTTCTGATCTTCAATTCTCTCATTTGTAAAAATTGTACTCTCTACCTCACAAGTCTTCCGTGAGGCTTAAATAGAAATCTGAGTATATATTATCTATGCCACAAATGATAGTTATTATGTTTATCAATATTAATATTATTATTATTAATAAAAACAGCATGGCTTTGTAGGCAGTTAAATCTGAACTGGACTAGAAACTCAGTTCTTCCACTTATTGTATGACCTTGGGAAAATTTCTTCACCTGTCTGAGCCTAAGTTTATTCACTTGCAGAAAGGGAAGACATATCTAAATCACAGAGCTATTACGAGCATGTTAACCATTTTATGTGTTAGTTCCATTCTGTGGATCAGATCATGTCTAGAGAAACACCCTTTAGGATGGATGCCCACAAACTGGAGCACATCCAGAAGAAAGCAAGTAGAATAGTGACAGTATGAGAACTGTGAAATGTGATGGGTAGAAAGAACTGGAAGTGTGTGAGGTGGAAAAAGAGAAAATTTGAGAGGATATAAGATAGCTGTCTTCACGTGGAAAAACGGACTCGTAGCTAGAGAGAATAAGAAGATTCAGTTAGTGCATGTTCACAGACAGCAGTTTCTAGCTCAGTATAGAGAAGAACTTATAGTTTATAAATAGAGCTGTCTAAAATGGAATGAGTTACCCTATGAAATAGCTGTTCATATTTTTTTAACCAGAGGTATTTATGTAGTGTTTGGTAATAATGACCAGAGGCTGGGCTTGATGACTGCTAATATCCTTATTTAATCATTCTTTACACTCAATCAAAATCAAGCATATCGTATTTTAAATCTTTCTCACTTTCAACATTATAATTATGTATTGTATCAAACTAGAAGCCTCTGTGGCAAAGAGTTCCTCTGATGGGCATTTCAGTTCTAAATGAATGCATTTGTCTCAGTCAAATTAAGCACAATTGAATTTTGAAATGTCAAAATAATATTTCTATAGAAGGATCTATTGAAGCACTGTAAAACTTTTAATCTACAAGACATTTATTGGAATTTAATAGACTTTAACATATTGATAATTGTACCTATTTTCAACATAAAGAATAAATTACAGGAAGAAAGCTACATATAAGAACTCATTTTACCATGAGATATCACTTCATACACACGAGGATGGCTATAATTAAAAAAAAAACCACAAAACAGAAAATAAAAAGTATCAGCAAGGACATAGAAAATTAGAATTCTTGTACATTGCTGGTGGAAATGTAAATGGTGCAGCTGCAGTAAAAGACATTTTGGAAGTTCCTCAAAAAGTTAACCATAGAATAAGACCCAGCAATTCCACTCCTAGGCATATTTGCAAAAGAACTGAAAATAAGTGTTCAAACAAAAACTTCTACAGGAATGTTCATGGCCTGACTAATCACAACAGCCACAAATGGAAACAACACAAATGTTCATAAAATGATAAATGAATAAACAAAATGTGGTTTATCCATACAATGGATATAAAAAAAGGTCACATATTCTATGACCCCGTTTATGTGAAATATCCAGAATAAGCAAATCCACAGAGACAGAAAGCAGATTAGCAGTTTCCAGGGACTGGGATGAGGGGGAAATCTGTAGTGACTACTTATCAGGTACAGAGTTTCCTTTCGAGTTGACGAAAACGTTTTGGAACTAGATAGAGGTAATGGTTGCACAACACTGTGAATATACTGAATGACACGCTTTAACATATTTAATTGTATGTTCTGTGAATTTTACCTCAATTAAAAAAAAACTACTTGATTTCAAAATTTGGCCAACCCAAAAGAGAAACTCTTATTTTCAACACACAAAAAACATAGATACACACACACACACACTATATAATAATCTATAGATTATTATTTTACTACAGATTATTAATTTACTATAGATTATTAGTATTTACTATAAGATATACACAAATATTTTACGTTTTATTGACTTATTCCGTTACTGACTGTCAGATCATTACTGACAGTCAGATACTTTGTTTTTTCTGGGTATCTGCAGCTTTCAACTATAGCATAAGACAATCAGTACCATTCCAGATTCATTATTATGGAAGCTGCAGTTCAATTAGATAGAATGAAATGTGATATTAGCAAAAGTTCCACAACAGAACAGTAAATTACTTACAAAGGCATTGCTTTTTTTTGTTTACACACATAAATCAAAAAATCTTTTTTTATTTTTTAAGGAAGAAAATAAATGTTTAACTTGGTAATTCTAAGAGTAGCATAGTATTTTGTTTTAAAAAATCAGCAAATAGATAACAAAAACAAATAACACTGCCACACAAAGCAAAGTCTTTTGAAAGTTGGAGTGAAAGAAGCAAAATCATACATCAGTACGATTCCATTCATATAAAGGTTTAAAAAGGGCAAAACCAAAATGTACTATTTGGTGATATATTTGTAATGCTAAAATTATAAAGTAAAAAAGAAACATTAAAGGTCATTGAAGAGCACTGGCAGGGAGGGACACAAAGGGGGCTTCTGCGGCTTCCTACAATCTTCTATTTCTTAACCTGGGTAGGGATTGCATGGCAGTCCACTTTATAATTTTTCCTCAAACAGAATAAATACGGTTCAGGCATTCTTTTGGAAGTTTGTTATATCTCAGGAAAAAAAATGAAAAATAAACTCATGATCAAAAAAATAAAAAAGGCACCACTAATGAGAGAAGACAATTATTCCTGGCTTAAAAGGAATTTTAAGTATCAAAATGACAAATGACTTACAATTTGGAAATTTAACTTACAGATGTTTAACATTTTTTGTTGTCGTTGTTGTTGTTGAGGATGATTTGCCCTGGGCTGGCAGCTGCTGCCAATCTTCCTCTTTTTGTATGTGAGCCGCTGCCACAGCCTGGCCACTGACAGATTAGAGGTGTAGGTCCATGCCCAGGAACTGGGCCCGGGCCACTGGGGTGGAATGCACCGGGCTTGATCACCAGGCCACCAGGGATGGCCCAAATGTTTAAAACTATTGTGAATTTATCTTCATGAATCCAAAATGTATCAGTAACGTAAACTAGTAATGAGATTATTTTTGTTTTACTATCTGCTGAGAATTTAGCTATGCTGGAAACACAAATTTAAGTCTTCTAAAATATGTCTTTCTTATTAAATAGAACAGGAATGACTGACTCAAAATGAAGTGGTAGATATAAACTACAAAGTCTATGAAATAAATTTGAAAATAAGCTGAAAGCACATAAGATGTGGCTCCCCAAAAGAGAGAAGATAAAAACTAAAATCTTGATAAACATACCACAGTTCTCAAGACCCATTAAAAAAGAATGCATCTGCACACATCAGAATGGCTAAAGTTGAAAAGACTGGTCATACCAAGTGTTGGAGAGGATGTAGAGGAAGCGGAACTCCTGAAACACTGCTGGTGAGAATGTAAATGAGTACAATCACTTTGTAAAACTCTCTGGCAGGATCTACTAATGCTAAAACCACCTCTTCTGAGGCCCAGCAATTCCACTCCTAGGTATTTTCCCAAAGGAAATGAGTGTACATGTCCATCAAAGGACATGTACAAAAATATTCTACCAGCTTTATTCATAATGGCCCAAAACTGGAATTAACACAAATGTCCATCTACATAAAATGAGATCAATAAATAGTGGTATATTCATACAATGAAATAACATACAGCAATAAAGAGTCAACTACAGACACGCTCAAGAATATGTGTAGATTTTACAGACAATATGTCGAGGAAAAGAAGACAGGTACAAAAGAGTTCGATGCTGCAGGATTCCATATATTGAAATTCTTAGCACCCAAAAAACTAAATGGTGATGATAAATGTGAGAATAATGGTTTCTCTAAGTGTAGAGGATATGGACCGAGAAGTAGTACAGCCCATATTGCATGGAAAAACTGTCTGGAATATGGAATATACTTAAAGTATATATCTTGAAATGGGTGGTAGTTTCACAGCAATATATGTCTACATATCTATACCTATATCTGTACCTGTATGTCTGTCTTTTGTCTGTCATCTATCTATCTATCTATCTATCTATCTATCTGTCTATCTATCACATCACATTAAATACGTACACTTTATGATGCACTACTTCAATAAAGATGCAAAAAAAAAAATCAGCAAATAATGCTCACATTTTATTTTATGGTCCATTAGGATCAAAAAAGAGAAAAGGTGGGAGATGACAAGTAGAAGGCAAAAGGAGAAACAAGGAGATAGTGGAAAATAGTGACATTTAAAGTAAAGTAGAGAGGCCCAAAGAAGACAGAAGAAAGGAAAAGAAAGACCAAAAGGGGTTCCATGGTGAATGCTGACTTGACATGGCTTGTTCTTGTCACATTCAGCATTCTCATATACCCCCTCCCCCTTAACACAGTTTCTCCTATTATTAATGTCTTCCATTAGTGTGTGCTATGGACTGAACTGCGTTCCCTTAAAATTCTTATGTTGAAGGCTTAACCCCAAATCTGACGGTTTTTGGAAATGGGTCTTTTGGGAGATAATTAGGTTTAGATGAGGCTGTGAGAGTGAGGTCCTCATGATGGAATTAGTGCCCTTATAAGAAAAGACAAGAGAGGGCTTACTTTCTCTCTCTCTCTACCATGTGAGGAAACCA